AAGAATTGAGGCAGTTCTGAAGGCAAAAGGGGGTCCAACCCGTTACTAGCATGGGGTACCTAATAAAGTGGCCGGTGAGTGTATTTTCAACAGATTTGGAAAAATTTTCACTAAACATGGATTTATTTGTATATTTAAATTCATACATCAAGAAATGAGTAAATGTCGATTGATCAATTTTTTGTTAGGACAGGCTAAAGTGGCCATCTTCATAGGTAGAAAAGAGGAAGGTGGTGGAAGAGTCAAAGATTGATTTAGTTTATTTATTAATCTGGAGAAGTCTAAGCTTGAATTTAATTTTCACAGATCAGTTTCAGATTTAGATACTTTTTGTGACATCTGGAGTTATGGGAAAGTAATTTGTAGTGTGGTAAGAGGAGAACTCATTTTTGGAATATTGTTAATGTAATTTATTCTGTGGTGTATGTTCTTTTTTTGTTGAATTTCCTGTTACATAGTTTGTGATACTGTGTCGATTATTTATTGAAAATAAATGAGTTATTAAAATCAAAATCTCTCTCTCTCTCTTTAAAGGAATTAAATTCTTGGAACATTAATTTAAGGAAATAATTTTATCCAATTCTGCAGCTTAGTTTCACAGTATGAATTTCAAAAAAGACATTTCGACAATATCAACATATTAGGTCTATAATAAAAGACAGATTTAAGATTAATGAAGCAGGTCTACAAATGTGTAGAGGATTTATAAGCCTTAATCCTCTAAATTACTGTCCAAAATATATACATGTTTATCCAAAATAGATGAGTCTATATCACTTCCCACTGGAAAATGGAGAGGTATTTATCCATTAGGCTTGATCAAAATGTTTGGTTTAAATGCGTCCCAAAGTATGTTACAGCCTAAGTTTTTATCTGGTGGCACTAAAAATTACATTTTTTTTTTTCAGATGTGAAATTAGGGCTGCTTAATCTCAGATTACAGGATTTGAAGAAGTTAGTCAGATTTGCATGGGGTTACTTTTGTTCCTTTATTGTTTGAAGCAAAGAACATGTATAGAATATTATTTTTTTCAAATGTTTTACACATATTTTATATTGTATAACTTTTTTCAAATTTTTCTTTTTCAGATTGAATTTTACAATTTATTATTTTTTGACTGAGTTTTACAGATCAGATTATCTTTACTGAATGAAAGAATAATTATGAAAAACAAATTAGAACCAAGTTCACTTCATAAATCTGGGATTAGTGCCAAACTCAAAAACTATTAACAAAAAATCTGCAAACATTTAATTGATTTAATGCAGATTTAACTGAGAGCATGGAGCAAACGTTAAAGATGAAAGTTGAGATTCCCTGTAGGAAAAAAAACCCTGAATAAACAGAATTCCTCAAAGTCCATCCAGATTCCCTGGAACCACCAGACCCTTTTCATCCACCTTGAGCTTAACTCAACATAGACCTGTTAGAACTTTAATTCTGGCTCTGAACCAAATGCAAAACGCTATGTTAGTCTTTATTTCTGCTTTTTCTTAAAATAATTTATTAATTTTAACTATTTTTGCACTGAAATAAACTCCAACACTAATCTATTCTGTCAGCAGAAGGAAAGAGTTTTACCTGCTGCAGTGGAAGCTGCTCGGTCCTCAGCTGCTCTGGTTCTGATGTCCGTCTGCTTCTCCTTCTCCTCCTGCTGTTCTGAGGGCCAGCCTTGGTCAGCTGCAGCAGACATCCTGCCACCGCCTCACACACACACAAGCACATCTCTCTATCCTCTTGGGGACTTTCAATTAACTTCCATTCATCTCTAACCTATTTCTACTGCCTAAAAGTGTCCCTACCCTAACCATTACAGGTTCATACTCCTACCCCACCCTAAACTCAACTCACAGCTTAGTCCTAAACCTAGCCTTAACCCTAAAACAGCATTTGTACCCATGGGGACCAGACATCGTTCCCCACTAGAGTAACCGAGATGTGCTAAGATTCATAGGAAATGCTCCCCACCATATAATAAACAAAAATCCACATCCATGTTTGTTCTTCTATATGCAGTGAGGACCATGTGTTGATTCCCATTGATTTTCAGTCATTTTCAACCCTTTCTATGGCCTAACTGTAAAATCACACCTAAACCCACCATTACCAATGCATACCTCAACCCAACCAGAACCTAATTGTAATCTTAGTTGTAAACTTAACCATTAGCAAAATAACATTCTGAGAACTAGCAAAATGTCCTCAATTTACAACAACTGGTCCTCATTTGGATGGTGAAATTGGAAAAATTATTCTCATTCTGGTTTCTATACAAGTCCCCCCCCCACATGCACCAACCTAACTCCATCTGCAGCCACACTTTGGTCGTCTGCACAGGAAACTCTTGTTCGACTCAAGTTTCCCAAAACTTTGTTAAAATACAAATAAAGAAAAACTGCACAAATGTTCTTAAAACTTGGAAACAGACATATTTTTATATCAAGGTAAGAAAATCAAACCCAAATTTAAAATAAAAATAATTTGCCTTTATTTTATGGTTCATTTCTGAGGACAGACATGTTTGAATTCTGAAAAACAAGCTTTAATATTATACCCTTCAAAACTTGGCAGGAAAATAATTTAAGGCACAAAGTTTAGTTTTCCAAGGCTGACGTGAAAAGATGGACGGACCGGAAATGTTCGTTTCTCATCATCTGAGGAGGATCATTCAGGCGTTTCTTCACCTGTCAGACGTAGGAGGAACCAGGTTTACTGATCCAACGGACCTCCAGAACAAAACCAGCTTCTACGGATGATCCCGGTGCAAACTGGTCAGACTGGGATGGAAAATCTGTTGGTGGTTTTCCAGTGCTGAAGGACAGCGGGACCTTTTACCTCTGTGGACAGGAATGTTGGATAGGTTTGTCTTCCTGCCTTGTTCGCCCAGTTTGGTGGCAATGCGGCGGATCTGCAATGAGCTTCGCCACAACAACACTCAGCAGGAAGCTGCAACGCACAAGGGAACAAACAACCTTCTTCGTCTGAGCCCTGATTTCATGGATTCTGAGATTCAGCTTTTTCCTGAGTTCTGATACATTCAGGACCGACCCGATCCACTGGCAGCTGCTGGATGGTTTCCTGATGGGTCGTCATAGTTCTGGAGCTGAGTCCAGAAAGATCCAGCAACAGACGGATCTCTGCTCCAACCAGACACATTAAAGTCTCCTGTGGTGGAATATTCAGCAGGACCTTCAGAATCACAGCAGACCAAAGCGTGCCAACCTGAATCTCTCTTTATTCTCAGACAGAGCAGAATAGAGAATATCTCCTGAAAATAAAAGCAGTTGCAGCTTCACTCCTTGTCCTGGTCCTCCATGATGGCCCGTAGAGCCTCCAGGCCCTCTAAGGACACGGTCAGCTGGCCCACCACCTCGCTGCTGTCCTCCACGTCCAGCACTGCAGCAAACACACAGAGACCAGCAGATGAAGCCTGACAGATCTGGAGAATTTCGGCCAAAACAAAAGCTTCAGATTGATGCCAGTCTGAAACATTTCTGCACCTTTTAAAAATCTAACAAACATTCATCAAAGCAGGAAGTTTAATAAGAAGGTACAGAAGATGCGTGACTGACAGCCTCCCAGAGTCTGGGAGTCCTTCAGAGGTCTGTGCTGATCGCTGGGTTCCCAGGAAACCAAACTCTGGGCCCATATCATGATGCCTTCAGAGGAGTGCGGCTATAACCCCTGATTTAAAGGGCGACTCACCCTTAAATCAACATTATTTTGCTCATAAACTGTATAAATAGATGTCTTCTAATGCTGTCTACATGTTCCAGGCATTATTTTCAGTTTACTGCAGATTTGCTGAAATCCTGTTTTTGTGTCTTAAACTGTCTGTTTGGAGCCCCCCTCAGGTTAAAAAGGGTTACTGCATCTGATTTTCCCTGTTGTCTTAGCAGAGGAACGTAATGTCATTCAGGAGGTGAGCAGCCAGTCTGGATCATATTTCCACTCCTGTATAAGGATTAGACATTAGTTTGGAGTCAGTCAGTCACATGATCTTAAAGCTGTTGGAAAACAAAATTCATTTTGAAAAGAAAACGGTTTATAAAAAAGAAAATGCATCAAAATTGGACAGAAAATAGTTTTCCTTCATCCTTCTGTTTTAAAGTTATAACTTGGGATTAATTTGATCTCAATGGTTGAGAAGCCCTGAAAGGTTTCGACTTAATGTTAATCAGAGTGTTTGGTTCAGATATTTATAGACAATCGCCATGACAACCAACAAATGAGGGAGGAAGGAGCATAACCACACAGAACCTCTGAGAACCTGGATAATTTAACTACAGTGATGCAGTTAATCAATCCCCGTTTATCCCTATAGTTTATCCCTTTAGTTTTATAAGAAATATAAACGTTAAAGTCGTAGGGAAGCGGCTCTTCCAACCATTGCATTTCTAAATTCTCCCGAGTGGTGCCAAACTTTACACGAGTGAATAAAGGGAAGGTGATTGGTTGTTTATCAAGGGGGCGGGATTGTGGTGGCGGAAGGTTCGCAAGCCTTTTGATTGTGGCCGGTTTGTCTGAAGCATCTTGCTAACCAGTTAGCAACTTAGTGCTAGTAGGTTCCCAATGGGAAATTCCATTGGGACCAAGTAGCACTAAATTGGTGACTTAGAAACGACGCTGTCAAGGAACGCTATGGACAGCGGAAACATGCAAGAGGAGGAGAGTTTAGTGTCGGAGGTCGTGGATGAGTCTCCTCCATCATCCATTTTTTATTTAGAGGAGGAAAGCGGGACGAAGATGTTGTGGAAGAGGACGCCAGGGCGGCAGAAGCTTGGTTTGGTGTAGAAGGCTTCCAGCCGTACATGTTTGAGCCCTTGCCTCGCAACGCTGCCAGTTCTGTTAGCTCTACGCCTGCTGAAGACACAGACGTCCATCCCCGTGAACACTGGGACGCAACTCAATGGGAAAGGAAAGGATTCTGATTTCAACCGTTGCGTATATTAGCTGCGACATATGAACCAAGATGCTATGACCAAAAAAATGTGATTGACAGATGACTGTTGATATATGATTGGCCGAATTTAGGTGTTCAAGCTGACGTATAACTAACTGGCCTGCATGAGATAACGAAAAATAAACAACACTGATTATACGACAGGATTTAAAAATAAAAAAAACTTGTCATCCTGCTTTTTAATGCAGGCCAGAACCATCAGGAGCTTTTCTTTTAACATATTTCTTTATTCAGTCTGAAGGTGCTGAGGCTTTTATTGTGCTGTGGCAGTGAGACCAGTCATCTACATGTAGGAAACCCTGCTGTGTGTTTAGTCCTGTTTTGGCATCAGAGTGAGGACCACTTTAGGGGATTAGGTTAAGCCTGCCCTTCCTAAACTGCTAACGGTCAGGTTTAGGGTTATGGCCTGAACATACCGGTTTCGTGCGGCTTTTTAATCTCCAATCAGATGCTTCTTTCATTTCCCACTGTTTGCTGTACACAAATTAAAACAATTTCCCACATTGGCCTTGGACAGATTATGAAGTAATAAAAAAAGCCCCAGCAAAATCTTCTCCTACTTCCGGCCACTGGAGTGACCCCCTCTGGCATATTTTTTTTTACTCTGACTCCACCCTTTCACTGTATTACAGGCTAGGAGCAGCAGATGACTCTTCTCTTTAGATCTTAATGTCCACAAATCATGACAGAATATTTTAGTACTAATATTGATGTTTGAAAATGAATTATAGGGGACCAGCTAAGGACACGCCAAGGGCCCATCAAGGAAAGTGGGGAAAAATGTCTACTACAGTAAGTCTTGGTGTTTGTTTAAGAATGGAATATAAATCCAACAAATGTCAAGGCTAAGATAAAACCCAGACATCCCACTTATTGGAAAACTGTCCACAAACTTGCTTAAAATTTCAACCAAGGATTTCTCCAGGGTTTCTATCTAGGACCACTGATAACAAGACCCTGAACGTTGATTCTAGTATAACGACCACTGGAAGCAACAAATGTTTGAATTGCCTAAAACTAGCAGCCATTGCTTGAAGGATGCAGGAAAGAGCAATTCCTGTTAAGCCGTGGGGCGAGACAGCGCCACCTTACTCTGAATTAAGCAAAGGCTTGTAAAGCAATGCGAAGTGAGTCAGTGCAGCATCTCAAACCAGAAGATAGAGAATGTTCATATGCCTATATTAAAACCATTATGATCTACATCTAAAAAAATAAAAACACTGCAGTTGGACGGTTCATATGCTGACTGAGGCAGAGAGGTGAGCGCTATACGTTCGACCTCGTCTGACACGATTTTCTGTAGGATCAGTATGGGAGAATTATCCTGCCATAATGCAAGAGCACATAATTTCAATTTGAGAAAAGAATTT